ATCACCGTGATAGAAGAGGCAGGGCAGGCTAAATGAGACTTCAAGTGAATGTAGAGAAGACACAGGTGATGAAGATACCCAACCAACAACACCACCAACAACAAAAAGCATCAACCAGACAAACCTAAAAGAATTATTCTCTTTCACCTACCTAGGAGGCAGAATCGTTCCAACCACAGGCGGCACAGGCACAGATGAGGATGTCAAAGCAGCCAGAATCGGTAAAACAGCAAGACAGGCCACCCTTCATTATTCTGAAATCGGTGTGGAGATCTATTGCACTCAGCATGTGAAACAAGATCCGGATTCTCAACACCAATCCAGTCAAGTAAGTCAGTGCTGCTATATGGTTCAGAAACTTGGCGTGTCACGAAAAGCATTTCCAACAAACGACTGACATTCATCAACAGCTGCCACCTACACTCACTCGATACTGAAGATCAGATGGTCAGAAAATATAAGCAACAAGGAACTCTGGGAACGAAGCAATGAAGCAAGAACCTATCCCCCAACAAATATGCACTGGAAGAAAGTGGAGATGGATTGGGCATACACTGAGAAGACCATTTGGGGACATCACGGGCCAGGCCAGGCCGACGAGTGGAATCCAAAGGGGAAACGACGAGTTGGGCGTCCGATGCGAGGACGACATAGAGTTCATGTGAGGGGGAAATGGAAGCCTGTGGGCAGTGGTGGAGGGAGGTTGAAAACACTGCAGAGAACAGAGTGGAGTGCAGACCTGCTACTGAAGCCTTCTGTAGGTTACGCCATATACTATTGTTGTAATCACCGTGATAATTTATCAGATTGATGCTGTTACTATTCATCATATGCAGAGTTAGGTAAGTACTACTTATACTTTAGCACATCCGAGATTAATCATACAAGTCTGGCAAACTGCAGCTTCTGTTTGTAATAGTTAAACTGATGTACAGTGTCATTGATGAATATTTTTTATTCTTTTTTCTTTACTTATTTAAACTTTTCAGGATTGATTTATATCAACTAACATTATCTGCAATGTTTTTTTTATTGGTAGCATTTATTTGCTGATTTGTTTTCTTTTCAAATTCTTACGACTACTACTAACATTACTTATCAGTAGTCAATTGATTTCACCGCTAATTTTCAACAAGATGGTAGTCAACTGAAATACATATCTATGTATACATATTTATTTATCTTGAATTACACAAGAAGTACGTAGATGAAAACCACTTTCACACAGAACTTCATTTCTATATAACAAAAGTTTCACTACAGAGCATCAATGAGAAATGTTTAAAGTAATTGTCTCTTTTAAAACAAAGATGATTATCTCCTTTTTTCATGAATAAATCATTCGATGTGTTCAGTATGTTTCGTCTTTATCGACAGCTGCGAATAAATAGTTATTATGAAGACTTGAACTCATGCCAAAACTATACCAATGATGTGTGGATGACTCATTAACTATACTTGGCAATCAGAACATATTTAGAGTTTGCCTCTTTTTTTAATCACATAAGCACAAATTGACAGATACAATCCGATCCATTTGTGGATAGAAAAATGATGGCGATGGATTGTGAAACCAAGCGAATTGAAGAAGGCGGTGGGTTAGATATAAGCGTTTACAGAGAATCAACACATATGGATTTTATGCTTGTTAGGACTCGTCAGCAAGGATTATCTCCAATCTCGGGGGATCTGATGTTCCACCTGAGATTCGAACCCGCGCCACCCAGTGTCGTAGTCAGCGACTTTACCACTCAGCTATTCGGGCCACGAGGTCGCAGATACGCCTTGCTAATGAGTGGCGAAAAGCACGAAACGTAGGTTCAGGGCTTCCTGCCGATTACCTCCAACCAACTAACATCTACTAATGTGCACCGTGATGCTGAGCTTCCTAACTTGGTTACCACATTGCAAATATGATCGATAGAATTCGGTCTGCATTCAGGACTAGACAAGATGAAATTGGTTGCACTCCCATGATCAATCAATACATAGAATTATAGTCAAGACAGTAGGGTATAACCTTACTATGAGGTTGATGGGATAGGATGACAATTCGAAGATCCAATGTGTCTAGGTGGAAGGAGACAGAGATTGATTACAGAATCTTGGTTGTATTGTGTTCTCTGAGCTGGGTTGTTTAATTGTGAAGATTTTCATTGTCTTGCTAGACGACATCATCAGCACTAAATTCAGTATGAAGTGAGCTAGCTGTCAATATCTGTACGTGAGTGATTTAGTAGCTTGCTCTGACGATGTGGTCTGTGGTTGGTTGTTTCCTTCGATTGTTGTGTCATTGATTGTATAGACTTTCCTGTTGGCTGTTCCTCTGCTTCACCTCTGACCTTCCTGTCATTTGTCATTTTCTTATTGGTTGGTAGATCGGGTCTATGTCTATACATCTATTGATTGCTGACTGACCTGAATGATGCACGTGGATAATTATGGACATGAATTGAAACACCATCATCTAGTAGATAATATTGTACCACATTGTCTCCTATGTCAAATAAATTGTCCAATATGGAAGTATATTCTAAGAGAGAACCCAAATTTCGCTCTTATATTGCCCGTTTCTTAACGATTTAACTTTCTAAAAATCACGACTATAACTTGCCAATTAGTAATCGAGTGTCCTCCAAAATATCTCACTTATCTAGTGGATGACGCTTTGGAGTTAGAAGCCAATAAGTGGTGGCTTCGACTGTCAATTTGGGGGGGGGGGGGAAACACTATCACTGAATAGGGTGCAAGTAAGTTCAGCTGATGAGTAAATCACAAATGAGACGAAACACACCTCCTTGATTTCACTACTGACTACTACCAAATAAATTACATGACGGTTAGCCATCTGAATAAATACAATCAGAATAAGAAGTGCTAACTCATAGAGAATATAACTAGAATGTTCTCTCTAGTAACACCTAGAGGATGAATATATACCAGGAGATGTCGGCCAAAACACAATTATCTTCCATCTTACATCATCACTGTTCACTTCTTCCATCCATTGTCAGCGTTATCAAACATTGAACAGGTATCTTTGAATGAATGACGATCTTCATCGCATTCAAACACGTTGTCAGAGCTCAGCACTACTTCCATGATGTTGACACTGAATACTTGCAGTCCTATGGAGAATACGCTCATCAAACACACCAAATTTAACGTAAGTAAAGCAGAACTCCCCCACCTTTTAGAGTGAGGCTAACATCTCTACAAGTGACCCAGATTGGTGATTGCCGCTATGGCTGTTGACATCTACTTGAAAGTTTCATTGCTCACAACCTTCACCCTTACTCAGATATGCAAAACTTTTCAAGAGTTCCCCCACCAAGGCTAAAATCACACAGGTCTCTTAACGTTATTTTAAAGGTTCTTTGTCTTTCAGTGATACAAAGCGCACAACGTACTTACAGATACTGATTTCTAAATGATCCCGTATATTGTCAGACAGTGCGATAATGCCGGCCATAAAGTCTCTCACCTCGCAACGGATCTACACCACACATTCCCTTCAAAACTATTTCAAGAATCTAATCAATACCAAGGTTAGAGAGGAAGGAGGAAATCGGACACGACAACCTGACACCATTTCACAATCGGAACAATTTAACTTGGGTTTTATTTTACAGTAGTTCTAACATGTTGGTGGACTTCTAAGGGCCATTCCTTTCTAACCAACAGTTTGAGCGAGCGATTCTGTCCAGTGAATACGCTTTTACAAACGCTTTATGTGGCGCAGAAACTATGATAGCAACCAATACTTCCAGCACACCCATACCTGGATGACTTTAATGCAAATCAAGTGGCCTCATTCCAGTATGATAGAAGATTCCTAAGGGAGTCATAACTTTGCATCGAGCGTATTATGACATTTGAGCGTATGAAATTCCTTCTAAACCTAGATTTCGGTTAGGAAGTTAGTATTAACTGACGACGGTGCACAGGAGATTAAAGTTTCAGTTGTCAGAGCAACAAGTTAGCTGAAATTCTTTTCGAAGTCCATCGACAAGCGTTTCTAGCATATTTGAAAGCTACTGACCGAGATACCAACTATCTCACAGACTACCTTACTGATATCGAGCGTCCTGCTATAAATGGTTTGGATGAGTTCCTGCGTATTATTAGATAAAACACTTGGCTGTAATCTTGTGGTCCTCATGTAGGTAGTTTATCGTGCTAGGGACTTAGACCTGCCATTATACTCAATGTCCGGCGAAATAGATGAACGAACGGAAAGCGGTTGAGAAGTAGTCACAGAGACAGTGCCTACCGGTTGGATCACTTCCGAAATTGCAAGTAGACCTAATCACTGAATAGCAAGTAATACTCACATATGCTTTCTGAAAGTTGGTCTAGAATTCAGCTCTAGTTGCGACTTATTTGGTTACGTGAACCCTATCAGTACAACCTTGACGAAGATAAGACAGGTTTTTGATAAGAGGTGTCGATCTTCGTAGTGTTGCTAACTGAGGTGGCTTGGACATGTGTCGCACATACCGAGGCACTGTCCCTCGAAGTGCGATGTTGGCGAAAGTGTTAAAAAATGAGAACAAGGCGACCTTCATAAGTTCATTCAAACAAAAAGGTGAGCCAAACGCATCGAAGCAACCTCAGCATACTGCAAACAAACAAGAGAAATCAACCAATCGCGTAGTTCCACGCCATTCTGAGAAAACTATAGGCAGGAAGTCATTCAGTCAGGCTCAGCACATACCCACATACTCGCCAGGTAACCAATAGGATTACACTTAGGCGAAATAGCACGCGATAAATATCTATGCCGAACCAACTGCCTCACTTTCTCACGAGGCACTGATGACGATGATATTGAAACACTTACTAACTAAAACCTTAAGGTAATGATTAAACACTGAATATGACAAGTGAAATCTCCTCTATTTCTAAGAAAACAAATCAACACACAAACCATCTTTGTGAAATAGAATTATACCATACAAAAATGAATTATTATAAATAATTACAAAAGAGAAAGAGTATTATTCATCATTCTGAGGTGGACGAATAGTCCGATTAGCTGTAGGTCGACGTCGAAACACAATACGAGCTGGATTATTATTTGATTGTTCTATATTACAATTGTTATTATCAGATTTTTTAATATTTCCTAGTGAACAACATCCAGGAGGAATTACTTTCTCTTTGAGATTAAGTAGAGATGAATTTTCATGGTATTTTTCAGTTGTCTCTTCTAATTGTGTAAGAATAGTTAACTTTTCATTGATAACATCTGATATCTGTGAATGTTGTTTAGTATAATTATTTATTGTATCAGGTAGATCAAGTTTTGGTAATTTTGGTTTAGGACTTTTAAAGCGAGAAAGTAGAAAAAGAAATATGACTAATCATTTAGTGAGTAGTGGAGTAAGTAAAAACTGATTTTCATTAGTATAATAAGAAAGAAAATATGTTAAGAAAACATATATACATTTTCATTGTTTCACATCAATTTCATATAAAAAGAAATCTGGTGGAATACTTGAGTTATAGACTAAGACATAGTTGTCTCCGGGATTCCAACCAGGCAGTCTACATCGTACACAGAGCAAGTTAATAGTTCGACTTCATCGACTTGTGCCAGATCTTGGTTAAGTCACCTCGAATGCTCTTTCAACTTAATCCATGGTACGCCGAGATAGGCAATGGTTCGGTATATGTACTACATGTGCAGATCATCTCAGTCGACTAATGTTCAGTCGACTAGCCCATCTTGCCTAGTACCCTTCACCTGACCTCAACATTCCTAACACGATTATTCTTCTAACCGTTAGTATGGTTATGAATTTAAAAGAAAACGTTATACATCACTTACATATCATCACAACGAACCCAAGGACCAAGTAAGTCAATTCGTGGTCCATCAAACTGAACAGGTTCTCTATGTTTTCCTGTATTCAACTGTTGGTCATCATTAGATGTATCAGCTGATAATTTGTCTACAACAGGTTCGATCTCTGCTACAGATGATGGATTAAATGCTTGAAGTACTGCTTCATTGGCACCTTTAGATCCAGACTCACTTAATTCTACTAAACGGTTTAAAACAAAATCTTTTAATCTATCCTTCTCTTCTTTTACTGATCGATTATCTGGTTCAATAACACCATCTGGTCGTGTCCATTGTGTAACACGTGTAGCTACATTCCAGTAATAATGTTTACCATCTGGTGTAATCGACTCCTTCCATATATTCTCAGGATTGGGTGGATCAAGACGAGATTTATTGACCCTTGACTTTTCTTCACTTTTCTCTTCATTTGACTTTCCTGTATCTGATTCTTTTAATTTTATAAGAAAACAGTAATATAAAAATAATTTACTAGCTAATACAATCCCATATTGTTTCGCTAACGACGGATCTCTCTCCAAATCCTTCATCATACTGATATGAGCATTCTGATATTGAAATTAAGGACTATAAAATTCAGATTAATTACATCATTCATCTGTTGTAAACAAGTTTCTAAGCTTTTCTTATCTGTTTCAGCAGTTTTCTTACTACGAGTTAATTCATTCACTTTCTTGGCTACACTAGCTTTATGACGCATACCATTCTCATGATTTTGAATACTCTACGCAAAATAAAAATGAACAATAAACGGAAACATAATGACTTACGATTTTATTATCAGCCATCCAGCATTTACATAATTCACAATATTTTTTTGGATTACTTTTCCAATAATCAGCCATAATGAATGAAATTTGTCAGAATACCATTGATTATGACGAGAATATCTAGACAGAACCACAAAAAAAAAGAAAGAGGAGTTATTTTTAACACCAACCACTATACGATTTTTTTTTTAACATGACTCATCTGCACTGAACCGACTGTGTTTGTTACAGTGTTCAAGAGTGAACATCGATCCCGACCCATATCACCTACAGTCTCCAACCACTGGTTTCTCTTGTCCCGCTGACCCCAAACGCCTAGTCTGCATCGTTCGGTATGGCTCAAACCAAAAGTCAAGTACTTAATTCATTGATGGCATGTTTTAGTCTGGCCACTCTGCCTTTTTTTAGCGTGAACCTACTTCGGCCAACATTGTGCAACAAGGCAGACGGTGGCTCGGCATAAGTAACATATGTCCCAGTCGGCCATCTCAGTCGATGAAGGTCCACAATCGCATCAACCGATTAACCTCTCCTTCCTCCGTATGACTCTACGTCTGACTTCTGCGTTACTCACGTGGTGACACCACGAAACACCGCTTATACTACGAAGGCAACGGTGATCAAACACCTGAAACCTTCTCATGTCCTCTACTTATATTGTTCATATTTCCCAGTCATACAGTAAAACGTGGCGGACTGCAGCGCAGCACATTCGACCCTTAATAGAAAATCGGATATCGTCGTGGCGCCACAGATGGCGTAAGTTGGCAGAAGCCAATCGAGCCTTTTGTAAGGGTGAGGAGGCTTCGTCGGCTATTGATCAATGCACTAGGGCTGATCCGACTTTTCAGATAAGTGGTGTTCAACGCACTCAACCACTCCCTTTTTTATTCTAAGCCGGGGTATCGTTGGAGATTAGTCCTGGAGCAACAATCTGCACTTCAGTGACGAGAAACGCATTCCAAACATTCTCAAATTGTCACTCAAGCTGTCCAGAAGAATGAATTTCGTCGTCTTCACCTGACAGGATTGCGTCATCTAAGTATTCCAGGTCTATCAAAAATTGCACTGTGATTAGGTCAGTCACTGCGTAGTCAGATGACGAGAGGGAGACCTCCATAAGAACGTCTATGATAAAATTGAATAAGAATGGAGAGTAGGCGGCCGTGAACTTCCATCGACTGACATGGCTGGGACACCTGTTATGCTTGCCATCACCATTTGCCTCGTCGCAAAATAATAGCTGAAGTAGGTTCCGGCTGGAAGGTTTGGGTGGCCGAACAAGATCATAGCATTATTTCAGTCTTTAACCGGGGGATTGAACCATGTAAGACGATGCAGACTAGGTGGTTGGTATCCGTGTGAAAATAGAAACCAGGGGTTGAAGACTAGATGGTATAGTTCAGAATCTATATCAATGGCCTAGATACATCACGCATTATCATCGTCATCTTAATCGTTAAGCTGGATTCAGTGTTTTCGAATTTCTCTCTCTTCTCTTTTACTCAATTCTCCAACTTTTGATCGATTTTTCTCTCCATCTTGAATCTACTTTGTTTCTTGATGTGCTGATATGCGGCGTGGCAACTTAGACCATCACACAGTAACGCCTGGTTCTATGTTGATATTGATGATGATGATTCATACAATGGTAACTCCACAACTTCGATACATAGTTCATATAGTTATAATTTACTCTGCTTTTTTGTGATTTTCATATATTCGAACAAGAGCCAACTCCAACTTAAAAAGCGCTTACTTGGGTATAACAAGCTAACTACGTATAGAAATGCAACACATTTGAGCTACATAACTTACTAGCCTTCCCTTCTGCTGTATAATCATTTCCGAATAACTTACAAATCTATTCATCATGAAAACTTCTCTTTTGGGTCCAGACGCAAATCTATGCTCCCATTTAGATATTGTTGTGTACCGTAAGCTCTTATTTGAAGATGTCACCTAATTGACGACTGAATTTATGACGTAGTATTGCGTAGAGCCAACAGTGGGAGCGTAGAAGAGGTGCAGCTTTTTCCGCTGTTTATGTCTCAGCTTAGGGGAAACCAATGTATCAACAGTACACATTTGTCAGTAGAGACCCCAAGGACTAGTAAGCTTCTTTGCAACAGCTTTGTAAGGTATTAAACTAGCGATTCTTTCTGTAGGTACGAAGTTGAGAAAAAAGGATGTATTTATTGTCTCTGTGGTCCGAGACTAGAATATTCCGAAATCTTATATCCTGCTCCCTTCACTTTTTAGGACTAAGGATGTTACGCCAACTGGCCTGTATTGTTGTAGTGGTCCAGTTTCTTCTTAAAAGCGTCCATCAGAAGAGTTGATGTAGGGTCGAATGCAGTGTACATGGGGTCAAACGTTTGACAACATACTGGTTGGATAGTAATAAGTTCGGGCTAAATAGACTGCACATGGGCTGAATGAGAATCCTGCGAACATCTAGGCAGACGAAGAGAAAACGCTGCAAAGTTTCGCGTTACGGCCTACTCTTGGCCTGACGTTTTCAACAGTAAGTGGCCAAAAACAGTTCCAGGTTGGTCTGACGGAAATGCAGACTGCTACCCACGGGTAGCTATACTCACTGGTTTTATAAAACTGAGCTTACTTAATATTTTTGACGGCTTTTAATTGTTTGGCATACTTTTTTTCTTTCTTGGCAAATTTACTTTCACATTACAATTACTGACTTCTAATGGCTTTTACACCGACAGAATGATCAGCCTGCTACATTTCCATCCTTCCAGTGTTGGGAGGATACATATTATGTGAAAAAGTTTCACTTAAGGCATCGAACTACACGTCAATAAAAATTCTTACAACATCCAACAACATCATATGATATTGTTGCAAGTGTGCGACAGTTTAGTGAAGTAGCAAATTACTGGAAACAAGAGAAAACGTGCAGGTAATGTTTCTTATCTACTTGTTCGTCTATTCTTGAAGGTTATTTGAATACTTTTGTCAGAAAAACCTACCCAAAAAAGTGTTTTAGAGGCTGTTATACCAACATTACAAAATACGCCGAAGGTCATCGGACGGTTGAACGTCCAATATCCAATATCTTTTCAACGAGCTTGTGTAAACCAATTGATTTCTTCACGCTCGCTTCTTGGTCTTGCGGGACGGCTCCAGATCTTTTGGCGGATTCCGATTCAGTAGGTCCAGCTACTCGCCTGCTACAGCTCTGATTTACAGAACAGGAAGTTGAGTGTTGGTTTGTTTGCCTTGGACTGTGGTGCAGTTGGCTTCTTCAGATGTCGAGTTGCCAGACAGTTGTTAGGACTGGCCGCTAGAGAGGGTTGGGGACAGCGAAGGGAAAACTTGGAAAGTGTTTGTGTGAGTAAAAGAAGAGAGGAAAAGTGAACCAATGGACTAATCTACTTACACCCAAGTAAGGTGAGTAGGGTGCAAAGGTATGAAGAACTTAGGTAAGTGAGGCTAACTTATGGCAAGTGAAAGGGGTGAAAAGGGCTTAAATGGTTACAATAGAAAGAAAACTGGTTGGGGTGGCTTGACATCACTTCGTGTTCCAGCTATGAGTGGGTAGACCGTGAGTCTCTGCATGACTGTCTAGCCTCTTCTTGAAGCTTTCAACAGTTGGGGCGGAGACCACCTCTGCTGGCAGTGCGTCCCAGTACCAACAGACTCGGAGGGAGAAGAACTGTGAGCGCACATGCGTTTTTGACTTCTGGTGTGCTATTCTACTGGGGTTTCTTCGGGGATCTCCATCGTGGCCACTCGGTAGGATTCCTCTGTTTGGGTGACTTGGGTTACCCATTATTTTGCAATCCATTATTAGGTCGCCACGTATCCTTCGACAGCTAAGGGAGTATAGACCTAGGTCTTTGAGCCTATCCTCGTATGGTTTTCGTTGCATTCCGACAACCCCTTTCGTGGCTCGCCTCTGGACTTTCTCCAGTAAGTTCGCGCCTCTTTTCAGCTGTGGTGGGCGGAAGACATCATGGACCTCTAAGTGGGGCTGTATGTAAGTCTTGTAGAGCTTCAGAAAGAGTTCTGGGGTGAGGGCACCCAGTTGTTGACGCACAAAGTGTAGTACCCCATATGCTCTTGAGACATCGCCTGGGTAATTGGAACTGGTGTCCAGTTTCTCCGTCACCGTTAGACCCAGGTCTTTTTCTACTGTGGTATGGGATGGACGTGAACCACAGAGATATAATGTTTTAGCAATAATAATAATGATAATATGTATTTCATACAACAAAGGTTACATGAATACAAATCAGTTTACAGGTTTGATCATTTTGGTAATGAGAAATGACTATTATGTACAATGTTAAGCTATACATTAGATACTCTCATTTATGGCATATAGGTGTGTTAAAGCAGGCTCAGTTCGAATCTGAAGATTATCCGGTCATCGTTTGAATCATCCGATATTACTGGAAGCCGGCGCGCTCCTTGAATAGTGGCGTGTTTTCGCTGGTCTCTCAGCTTTTGGGCTTTTCCACATTGAAAAACTCCCACTTGCAATACTCAATCTAAAAACATCGAACGTTTGCAGCACTTCTGTCCATCCACGCACCTCACCCCTGCGCATTCGTCAGCTCACTCCTCAACAGTTGAAAATTGGCATTATTATTCCTTTGAACCAACCGGTCTACCTCCTGTCAGTGGTTCTTGGGCGTTTCAACTGCCAAACTGCCTTAGCTCTCGGTTCTCCTCGGAGGTCATTCCCCAGGAAATATCTTTCCTGGTTATACATACGCATCTGGAGCTTACGGTTAAACTCGTTGGTCAAGAGCAGAGGATCAAGTGACAAGTGTCTGAAGGTGAGCCAACATAAATTATCTTCCCTTTTCTATTCTGTCCTTTTGCTGCATTCAGTCTTCAACCCTCTTATTGTTGTTAACTACTTGTTTTCCCAAGAAGTTTATATCATAGCGACATGTCTGCCCAAAACGCTAGGTCTGAAGCTTTGACACGGATAACGCGGTCGTGCACAAAAACGGCCAATAACACCCTAAACAACACACTAGTCTGTACTAGAAGACAAACAGAGGTAGGGCAGAACACCGAACTTCTGAAGAAGTGGCCAA